ACACTAAAAGTAGATTGGTTGCCCAGGCACTATTGCCAGATGAATCTATGGACTCTTTTACTTGGCTCCTTACATGCCTTAAAAAAGGAAATCCAACATATGAACCAGGTGTTATTTTTTCTGATTCTGATCCTGCAATAGCTGCAGCAATTTCTAAAACTTTTGTAACAGCTTATTACCACCTTTGTGTATTCCATCTTGGAAATAATGTCAAAAAAAAAGGCCCGATCAAAACTTGGTAATCATTTTGATCAGTTTATAAGTAGTTTTTATGCTATGCGAAATGCATTACAGGAAACTGTATTTGAATGCCGATATAAACAATTAATTGAAGCTTATCCAGCTATGGAATGTTATTTATATAAACTTTACCAATCAAAGCAAAGTTGGGCCTGCTGTTTCACAACTCAAATTTTTAATGCTGGCATTCAAAGCACACAACGTGTAGAGTGTTATAATAACCTTATTAAGACTAGCATTAATCAATCATCATCTTTAATTAAATTACATAATATAATTCAGGAGCATCTTGATAAAGAAAATAAATACAGCCGTTCCCAGGAAACTATAAGCTTTAACCATAATGGTCAGTCTATAAGTAAAACATTATTTCCAGAAATCATTGCAGTGTGTGAAAAATATCTTACACCTCATATAATTGCTGAAATAAAGCAACAAATTCAACAAGCGCTTTGGTACCGATGTTATTTATTTGATATTTTACAAGAACATTGTACTAACGATGAATCTGAACTTACTGATGGATGTATCGAAGACAATTATGATGCACAACAAATGCATATTAACTCTATTTTGAGTAATGTATCATATGATAAAATTCAAGAAGCTTGGCGTGTTGTTAGAATTGTGGGTTCTGGAAATGTGCACTACATTATTTTACTTAAGGATAGTTCATTTTTATGTACATGTACCTGGCCAGTTAGCCGTGGAATTGTATGCAGGCATTACTTTGCTGTTCTTATAGAATCAGATATGGCCATTTTTCATATATCATTAATAATACAGCGATGGTATAAAGATGCTTATTTTAATGAACCAGAAGATACATTCAATAATATTTCAGCAATCCGATCACATAATAATGCTCTTAATAGGCCTAATTCACCAAGCCAACTTAATCAAACTATATTAACCAACCGATTTGAACAACTTAACTTTATACGTAAAGCTTCAGGATCTAAAAAGCCTAATAAAAAGTTTATTCAAGATCGCATACGTTATGGTAAAAGCTATGGATTATTACAAACTGTTCTTACATTGGCGATGGAAACAGAAACTGAAGAAGAAGTAAATAAATGGTGTTATCAATTTATACAACAAAAAAAGAAGTTAATAAATACTATAGCTTCAAATTTAAATGATACTGCATTAAATCAAGAACAAGAAAATGATATCTGTAGTACGCCAGCTCAAGAACAAGAAAATAGTATTCATAGTGTGCCGGTTCAAGAACAAGAAAATAATATTCAGGTTACTAATCCGAAAATCATTTCAGTTAAGGGCCGACCAAGTAAAAGGCAAAAGGGTGTATTGGAACAAAAAGCAAAAAAACCATTAA